GTTCTCCAAAGTAAAAACCAAGTACTGAAAATGTTTATTTAATGCATTTTGCTAAGAAATCAAGTAAAACATTTTGAAAACCACGTCATTTAGTTGAAAACCACGGCTAGCCAAGTTTACGCCGTTTCGCATGGTTTTCACTAAACGACCAAAAACGAAAGGTGGTTTTTGAAGCGTTTTTGTTGGAGAACTATTTAAATGTGCCCAGAAGTAAAAACCAGTCATAAAAGGTTGAAAACCACTTGATTGGTTCGGACGCCAAAAACCAATGCCGAAAACCGAAAGCCGAACGCCGGATGGCTTGGTTTTTGGCTTGGGCGAACTCCAAGTGTTTTGAGCCAAGTTTAAAACTTAAGAAAAATATTTTTGAAAATGTAAAAGAGATTTTTATGAATTGAGCCTAGAGAGCCAAGATTTGGAATTTTGTGCCGGTCTTGATCACATTAAGACCAACTCAATACAATTCTAGTTCTTCGTTCTTGATTCTGGGTTCTTGGTTCTCAAGTCATCATGCCATGTTCCTTCGCCTTAGTTTTGCTCACTTTAGCTTCGATATGTCGCGGCGGTTTGGCATTATCAAAACCTGTCATAAAGACGAACACAGTTTAGTACGACGGAGGCGTAAACCCGTGTTCCAACAATGGAGTGAAGTTTTTGAATAACTGATTTAGGTAGTGAGTGCACTGCCATGAAGTGTAGAGGGATGGTAGATAGCACATGTTTGATCAACACCAACCTTCCAGACTGAGAGGGTACAGTTGTACCATTTATCAATGTAGTTGCTGAAGTGAGATATTAGGTCCCCACAATCCCCTTTCCTTAGAATCCCTTTGCAAATTGGAGTACCCAGATATTTAAAGGGCAGAGAGCCCTTTTGCATTCCCAATATGGATTCAGCTCTAGAAGATACCTGAAGGCTGCCATGTTTACCACAATAGAATCTACTTTTAGAAAGATTGATGCTTTGTCCTGAACCATCCAAGTAAGCATGTAGTATCCCATTCAGTTTCCTTAGATTGTTAAAATCCCCATTGCAAAAGATGATAATGTCATCTGCATAAGCAAGATGACTAAGGGTTTTGTCTCTCCCAGTGTTGAAGTGAGAAATATGGCCTGACAGCATAGAGTGCTTTAAGGCCCTGGAGATGCCTTCACTGGCAACAATGAAAAGTAGAGGGGAAAGAGGATCACCTTGCTTGACTCCTCTTTTCATAGGGAAATAACCACAGGAATGACCATTGATGAGGAGAGAGAAGTTGGTAGCATAAAGATTAGCCATAAGAAGTCTCTGTGCTCTAGGAGAGAAACCAAATTTATCCAGGATACTATGAATATACTCCCATTCCAGGTTATCAAAAGCCTTAGCCATATCTAATTTTATGACCATGTTGCCACCTCTGACCTTTTTGTCCAGCTTGTGAACCATCTCTTCTACAAGGAGAATTTGCTCATCAACCCCTTTGCCTTTTTGGAAACCACTCTGCTCCACTGAGATGAGCTTAGGAAGAAGCTTATGAAGCCTGTTAGCAAGTATTCTAGTATTAATCTTGCTCATGAAAGTAGATAGTGAAATAGGCCTGAAATCATTAAAATCTCTGGGATTATCTCTGGGATTATCCTGAAATCATTGAAATCATTAAAATCTCTGGTATAGGTACCCGGTCCTATATAGGTCTTATTCTTAATGTCTTAATGAATTAAAGTGTATAAGCTAATTATATTTAAATAACAATTAACATAACAATATAATACAATGTAACAAACTAAATAAATCACATATAAAATTATAATAAAAAGTTTTTTTATACTTACCTTCCCAAACCAATGTCTTGAAAATTGTATCACACGCCGACTCAGACGACGAGCTAGTGGGGTCAAGATTTAACTGGTCAATCCGAGGGTTAATGGCTTGATTAACTATAATCGAAAGAATAATACTTTATACTCCCTCCGTCCCGAATTATTCGTCCAGTTTTGACTTAGAACTGTTCATCTAAGCACTTTGCAATCTCTACCTAGCACTTTACGCTTATATTTAGTTGATTGGAATGAAAAAAGAAGAAAACAAATAATTTTAATATATTAAGGCATAATTGCTAAATATTTCTTAATTTTAATGCTAATATAATTTTTAGTTATTTTTTTGTTTTGAAAAATATTATTTTTGGAGTATAAGTATTCAAATTAATTTTTAAGTAAAATATATATAATTTTGTGCATTTATATTTTAAACTATTTTTAAAAGTTTAATAAACAAGTACATTAGATGCTACTTGTGTTTCTAATCAATTCAATAAATATATATCTTATTGCGTGAGTTTTATTCCAAACAATATAGTAATCTTTGAAAGGGTAGGGTATTGTTTCCTTACAACACTCCAATAAACCAAAATATCAAACATTTCTAGATCAACTATCATCACATCATCATCCAAATAAAGGTCCACCTCCGATCTTGACGTTTCTTTTTTGGCATCATAAAAACATGTATTGTAACGACCCGAAAACTGACTCAGTAGTTAGCTGTTATTTTTATAAAAATAAATATACAATTTTCTGACTAAAAAATATAAATTATTTATAAAGTAAACCTTTTTATTTAAAAATCGAGTAATTGGGTAGATCTCGTAAAATGGTGACCAATAATATATAGTTTTTAAGTTTGCACTTATGTGTGTTGTAATGCATGAGTTCAACCCTTTCTGTGTTGTTAAGTGTTGACTCATAGGTTTTGATAATTGACAAAGATAATTTATTCAAGTCAAGATCAAAGTGCTATATTGACAAACACGAAGACTTAAAGTGCCATTCCTTGAAGTATTCGAGGAGGTGGAGGAGTATAAGATTTCCGAAGACTTTTTATTTATTTGAGTCGTAGGAATAATTGTAAGGATGACAAAAATACCTTCTCTCCAAAATTATTTTTATGAGAGCTAAAATAAAAATTATATTTATTTTTTGAGTCAGTTGAAATTTTTTTTAACTCTTCAAAATAGTGTTATTGAGTGAGTTACAAAAGGTGTGCCAAACATTTATCAAATATTTATTTTGATATTATAAAATACTTTTGGTAAGTAAAAATATTTTATTCAAATATTTTTCATGTACATCGTTTGACACACAAAATATTTTTTGGACTCTTTTTCTACACAAAATATTCTTCCTCATAATTCAAATTTGAATTTGAATTATTTTATTTGAATTGGGAGCCTCCTTATCTTGAATTCTATGTCTCAAACATTGGATTAAATCCAAATTGTCCTTCACCTTGCTCACATGTTTGTGTTTTTCATGTCTGGACATTATTGTTGCAATAATCGATTATTACCTATGGAATTAATCAATTATCTCGTCCAGAAGGAACTAATCGATTAACACATTTGGCTTTAATCAATTATCACTTTTCTTCGCAGAAGGAATTTGGCTCTGGCAAATTTAATCGATTTTTGCAAATGCTTTAATCGATTTTTTATGATGCACTAATCAATTATGATGATGCATTAATCGATTATTTTAATGCATCTTTTCTGCACAGCTTCGTTTCTTGGACCAACGGATATATTTTTCATCTCCTATTTAAACTCCCTTCCTTGGTCATTTTTGTGTAGAAGAAACACTCCAATACTCCTCATTCTTGAGGTTATAATCCTCCATTCAATTCTTCCTCGAATTGATATATTTTGAGAGAAAACTAAGTGTTTTCAAGAAAGTGTTTTGTCATCCATTAAAGCTTTAATCATTTCTCATTTCTACTCTTTTGATTTCTCCGTAAGCGGTAAAAACGAAGAAGTCGTAGGAAGAGCGTTGAAAATGTAAACGTAACCGTTCAAGCGTCCGGTCTCCAACTTTGACACACGAACAACGCCGGAGTCTACCACAATCTTTATGCTAGTAAAGATTATAGTAGTATAAATATAAAGATTAAAATTTTGGGATAATAATAATCTTGTATATTTCTATAGAAAATATTTCTAATAATATTTAGAAAATATTATAGATATTTTCTATACACAAAATGATATTAATGGAACACAAAAGAATTTTTCTCTCTCAAGAAATAATGTTGGCCGAAAATTCCTTCTAGAAAAATCCCATGGTTAGCTAATGATGTGTGTGGTTTAAATAAAGTATGATTGTAATTGATTTTGTCATTAGCTAAATGACAAATCAATTTAGCCACTCAAGAATCAATCAAAACATAATTTTGATTCATTAAATCCTCATATGGCCGAATGATGATTGTGAGAAGGATTTTCAAAATTCTTCTCCACTTAAATGTTCAAAGTGTATTTTATTTGACACCAAAAATTAATATTAAACTAATTTTAAATCAAATAGCAATACCAATATCATTTTAAACAAGTATAAAATATACTTTAATTAGTTTCTGTCAAAATAATTATTTTCATAATTAAAATGACAAACCAAAATAAAATACTTAACATATAATATATTTATATATATATTTTGGTGTTATCATATATATATATATATATATATATATATATATATATATATATATATATATATATATATATATATATATATATTAAATATATATATAAACCGTATATATAATATATATTATACTCCAAAATATTTTATTTTACTGTATTTTTCTTGGCATATTGAGCTTGTGGGATTTCTTCAAAAACTAACTGCTCATCTTTTTCAGCATGGTTAGAAAACACAATAAAATCATTTTCTCTAAAAAGTTTATCAAGTCCCAAGCAACAATCTTCTCCAAGCTCTTTTATCAATTCTCCCTTAGCCCTAGATCCTTCAAACTTATCAGACTTCTTCCTTTTTAAAATATTTATTTCTCCAATATTATGGAAGTTCTTTTCAATTTTCCAAAGAGTTTCAACAAGATGTTTCGCTCAACAGATTTCTCAAAAGCCATTTTGCTTTCTATACTAGATTCACCTAGGAGCTTGCCTATAATCTCTATATTTCCAAGAAGATGAGCCATACTAAACCCATTTGAAACAGCTCCCTGGTCATGAAGTATATCTTCCTCTTTTTCAATTTTCACTAGGGTATTAAATTTGCCAGTACAAATCTTGTTTGTCTCTTTTTGGTATATTTTATTTTGAATACTAGGTGATCTCTCCTCTTCAAAACCAAAACTTTTGAAAGCACTTTTGGACTCATCAATTTCAGCTTCAATGTCAACTTCAAATTTTTCCACTTCATTAGAAAAATTTTGAATTTGACACTGATTTTGAAGATGACCTTGAATGTTATTTGTGACAGTTTCAAAAGCACTTCATCTGTCTTCAAGTTCATCAGAGAAATATTAGAAATCTGATTCTTTTTGTTGTTTAAATAAGTCTCATCATCTTGAAAACATATTCCCAATCAAACTCTGATTGCTTCTCAAAATCTAGTCCATTACCTTCCGTTTGATTTGAAAGGTCTGTTTCAACCATTTGAAACAATTCATTTAATTTTAATTCATAAAATCCTTCTTGTTGTGAACTGAGTACTTTATTCATCATATATGGGGGTATTTATATATACACGGGGAGGAGGTAAAGTCTAGGTAAACAAGGTAACCAGATATTCTAAATAATAGGAGTAATATATCTGCCATATTTAACACTCCCTCTCAGATATATCATCGTTCATTATACACTAACAACATTATGCTACGGGATAATGTTGGCTAGGTTCTTCAGGACCTATATTAACTGATACTGCAGGATCAGTTATGCTGCCTCATTAAAAACCTTACTAATAAAACCCAGTGGGACAAAGCTTAGTTAAGGGAAAAAGAGTACAGCGTGTATAATGTTTTCCTTCAAAATAAAAATATACTCCCCCTCAAACTAATTTATCTCTTTTAGCTTGCGAAGTCCAATCTTCTTTATGAGTTGCTCAAAACTGTGTCTAGGCAGAGATTTGGTGAATAAGTCTGCCAAATTTTGCTTGCTTTAACTTGAAGAACATCGATCACTTCTTTCTGCGTATCAGATGTTGAGAAAAACTTTGCAGAGATTTGCTTCGTTCTGTCTCCCTTGATGTAACCTTCCTTGATTTGAGCTATGCATGTTGCGTTATCTTTATATATAATCGTAGCATTCTTCTTGATTTCTTTCAAATTACATGCTCCTTGTATGAGATTGATCATCAATCTCTACCATGCTCGCTCTCGATCACTGTCGTATAATGCTATCAGTTTGGCTTGATTCAATGTTGTTCGTGCTCGCTCAGTCGACTTCCAAGAAAATGCCGCATCACCATATGTGAACACATTACCTGTCTAATTTCACACTTAAATATGGTACTTCAGGACCTAGTACTTCTTCGCCCTCTTCTGGGAGGCAATTAGAATGTTTATGTATATATATGAGTGAACAACCATGGGTATGTTCAAAAGATGAACTTTATCCATATTTCAACGTGTTAACATCTTCTAGACGTAGTTTAACTTATGGACAAATGTCCCGTCGTATAGGTGTTTAAAATACAATCCTAAGTATAATTTATGTCATGTCAAGATCTTCATTCTCAAATTCTCTCTTCAAGAGTTCAATAGTTTTTTCTATCTCTTCAGGAGATCTAATGATATTTATACGTCGACGTAAACTGCTATAATAAAGAATATTAAGAGCGATCCTTGAATGACAACACATAGTTTGATTTCAAATTTGTATCTTTCCTTTTCGAGATATTCACTGCGTCAATTGTACCACATATGACCAGATTACTTGAGACCATTCCACGATCTCTTCACACATATCTCGATGTATTAATTTTATTGCTTCTAGCATTTTGAATCCTTCAGGCATTATTATCACACAGATGTCGATTTCAAGTGTCCCTTATAATTATGTTATAACGACATCTATATCATTTATTTGAAGTCCTTTTGAGATTGCGAGGCCAATTAAAATTCTACAAGGATATTGCATCCACTAGTGGAGAATACGTTTCCTCATAATCAACTCCTGGGATTAAGGAAAAACCCTTGCCTTACAAGTAGTACTTCGTATCGCACAATCTCATTCATTTTATTTCTGTTGATTACAGACACCCATTTTAAACATATTGGTTTGACGTCTATGGGTGTTCAGACTTCAGGTCCGAAAATATTTCGTTTATCGAGTGACTTATATTCGACCTTCAGGGTCTTTTGGCATTTGGCAAATCATTTATGTATTATCTACATGTACTCTTCTTTGAGTTTTAG